AACGCCAGTCTTTTCTTTTCCCAAATAGCGTGCCCTTGAAAATGTCACTATTAAGTTAGGATTTTTTTCTTTTTTCGAACAGAAAATGTCTTCTCAAAAGGGAAGAAAGAATATCATAGCCGACTGTCTTCTTATATAAAGTTCAAAATAAGAACTGTTTGTATTATTGTAACATAGATTTGATATCTAACAAAAGAGCAAAAATGGGGGAGGGATCAGGAAGAATATAAACTAGCCAGATTTCCAGAGTAGTTTGTAACAATGACCATTGAGGAGAGAAAAATTACTTTCTAAAATAGCTTCTGAACTCAGGGACCTTCTCAGATTCAGTAAATTCAGTGTATATCCTAAATTCACTTCTCTAGACCATATTAGAAATCTGAAAGTTCACTATGAATTGAATCTAAAAGTTCCTTGACTTTGTGAAGAGGCAAGACTTGTGTGCAGTGTACAGAGAGGAGAAAAACCATTGACTTTTATAAGATGGTGTATGACAGAAGCGTCCTTTCTGTGAGAAGAAGGAGCTGAGCTTGTCAGCAGATGGCCTACTTTTAAAACATCAGTAGATGGTGAAAAGAGAACATTATAAAAGGGACAGGCTTGTGTTGCTAGAATAACAGGACGTTCCGAATACAAGGCAAACATAATGTTTGCTTGCCAGGTGCCTTTGACGCTATCCCAGGAAGTGGGGGATTATTAGCCTAAAATACCCTAGAAGTCGCTGAAGTGGTTAACTATCTCTATGCTTTAACTTTTAAACCCAGACACTAAACTATTGGGGTGATTAAATAACATATAAAATGACTGCAACTGAGGCAACATTAAAAGGCAACAAATACATTTAAAACAATTATCAATTATCAACACAAAAAAACGTTAACAAAAAACAGAAGAAACTGTTTATATTGCACAATGCAAGACATTGCACACTAGTGTTGCACACAATTTGTATATATAACTTGTGAGTTATCAATATTAACAAAAATCTAAAGTAGTACAAATTATATCGACAGCTTAATTTTATCTTAAAAACAAGATTTTCCAACACACCAATACAAAGGGAGGACTTCCGTAACGAGCGACCACGACATGAAACAAAGTAGAATAGAGAGTTATGGTTATGGTTAAGGTTTGGGTTAGGGGCAGAGGTAGGGTTAGGGTTAAAGGTAGGGGTTATGGGTCGGGCCAGGGGTTGGTCTCTTCTTTATATTGCGCCTGTTGGGGTGGTCGCTCATTACGGAAGTCCTTCCAATACAAAAGTAGCATTATCAAACTAGAAAATACATACAGCCCTGGATCGAGAACATATGAAATTTTAAAAGTACACACTGAAGGCCACAAAAAGAGTTTACCACAAAAATTAATATTTATAGGAAAGTCAACTAAATGTTCTGACATCAAAGAAAAAGTATCTCATACTAAATCATGACATTCACTCAAACCACAGTCTAATGATGGCTAAAAAAAGTTACATTATGTATGTATAATAAATTTGTTTAGATGGGTAGTAAAATAATAATGTATTATTATAATATTAAATTTCTCTAAAATATTGGGCATTTATACTCCGAGTGTGCATTATACTCATGGTTCCAACGGTAATAATTTAGCAATCCTTCCTGTTCATCTCTCACTCTTTCTCTCTCCAGTACATGCATGTTTGAAAACTGATAGATAGTCTCACTAAAACTTGCAACACACCAACAAGCAAACACATCGATGAAGACACACAACAACCATTTGTTTCATAAAGGCATCATGAACAAAAAAAATATCTACACTACAAGAACAAGATAATTTAATATGTTGGTCATTACACTTAAGTGACAATACTATTCAGACTCTCTCACGTAAAGCTACCAATCCCCTTCTTCATCAAAATTTGACATTATAGAGCATCCAAGCAGTGTTCCTTCATTCACACTTCACTTACCCCACTTCCTACCTCAGACTAATCAAAATCAGAATGTTTTCCTTGCAACTAACTGCATAAACACACACATGATGGACCCTTTAAAGTTAACCCCCCCCCCCCCCCAACTTTGTAGACCTTTATCAACTTTTTGGTCACTTACCCCCCTGAATGAAAGTGAAACCAAGAGCAAACCAGGCACTCAGACATTCATGTTTACCTTGTTACAATTTATCATTATTAGCCTGTTGGCCATCAATTTTAGATCTTGGCTCTTAAACTCTCTATAGGACCTGAGGGGAGGGTGAGCGTTTTTCATTAAAATGTGCATGATGTTAACCCCCCCAACTTTGTAGACCTTTATCTTATCAACTTATTGGTCACTTACCCCTGAATGAAAGTGAAACCAAGAGCAAACCAGGCACTCAGACATTCATGTTTACCTTGTTACAATTTATCATTATTAGCCTGTTGGCCATCATTTTTAGATCTTGGCTCTTAAACTCTCTATAGGACCTGAGGGGAGGGTGAGCGTTTTTCATTAAAATGTGCATGATGTTAACCCCCCCAACTTTGTAGACCTTTATCTTATCAACTTATTGGTCACTTACCCCTGAATGAAAGAGTAGAAAACAAGAGCAAACCAGGCACTTTGACATTCATGTTTACCTGGTTACAATTTAATTATTATTAGCCTATAGGCCACCATTTCTAGATCTTGGCTCTTTAAAACTCTATAGAGGACCTGAGGGGAGGGTGAGCATTTTTTATTAAAATGTGCATGTTTCAAGTCCATGGTTTTTTACCTTTTTTAATAAAATTTTGCACTGTGTGAATCACAGTAAACAAAGGTCAATTCATTAGTTTAGAAACCCATAAAAGTCATATAAACGCCTTGGACTTAGACAATTGGTATCAGTATCTTTGTATCAATCAACTAATCAACTGAGAACCCGGAGCACTTAAAGTGTAAAACAAGTGATGGATTTCTTACCAAGAAGCTATTCAGACTTGAGTCTGAATAGCCTCCCGTGGCTATTCGGACTCAAACTTCAATAAGGCATGCTGAAATTGACGTTTTTCATAATTATATTATCGATTTCAGTTTGACTTACTTTCTAAACTGATTCTTCTGCTGTCATTTTAATATTGTTTTTAAATTTTATGCATTTTTATTTGTCCCCAAGAAATGACAATTTTAATGACTGTACTAACATTTTTAGCTGATACCCCTGCTTCTGACTGTAGAAGGATTGTTGCTTGTCTAACACGGATATTGTTTTGTCCTAATTTAATTTGAACATCATGTAAAGTATGCTGTTGGGAAAGCTTTTCCTTTAGACCACTGTTACTTTGAATGACTGACTTTTGTTCCCTCTGGAAAGGTTTAAAAACATTTCTCTTCTTAACTTTTAACTGGACTTCCAACTGGTCAATGATTCTGTCTTTCTCGTCAAATGAACTGGGTTTAGTCTACCTCTATGACAAATCCTTTGTTTGTTCTGAAACTTTGATTATAAATTTTTTCACTGCCTTGAGCTCAGATTGGCGTTTTCCTGTTTTCCTTTTTTGAGTAACTAGTAGTAACTTAGTAGTTTAGTAGTACTTAGTAGTTAAGTTGTTCACCTTAGACGTCACAGTTATACTTTTCTTAATTTGTGTGGAAAATTTTGGCCAGATCGTAAAAACCCAGGAAGGCCAAGGTCGAATTGTCTGTCCGCTTGATTAGTTATGTTACAGTAGTAGCCTACACCTGGTGATTGCGAACGGGTATATTGGAGTTTGAGTCCAAATAGCCACGGGAGGCTATTCACTATTCAGACTCAAGTCCAAATAGCTGTTGCCAAATTCTTAACTGACGGCGTCGGATAGATCTACTTTCTTCACATTACAATTGTAAACCTTAGTCTGCCTTAGACTATGAATGAGCATTGGCCAGTTTGGTGAGGTGAAGTCTTGGATTTGGAAGATGAAAGCCTAAATTCTTACAAAACAAAAGTCCAATGTTTTAAACTCTGTGAAACCCCAAATTTTATTGGTCTCTTGGTCCACAAACTGGACTAAAAACCAACCAGTAGTAGGCCTAGGCCTAGATCTGAGCTATAGGACCCAGTCTTGCTCTGTTCAGATATAGATAGATAGATAGATAGATAGATAGATAGATAGATAGATAGATAGATAGATAGATTTTCTACATAGGGGGGGATCAAAACCCAACCTATGACTGAGATCTAGATCTAGATACAGTCTTTAATCTTTCAAGATTTCTCTATGGGGGGGGGGGGGGGGGCTACAAACCAAACAAGTACAGGAGTCGGAGAACAGAAGGATTTCCGTAACGAGCGACCACCCCATCAAACACAATAAAGAAGAGGCAGAGACCTAACCCTACCCCTACCCCTCCCTTACCCCTACCCCTACCCAAGCCCTCAATTCTGCTCTGTCTCATAGTGGTCGCTCGTTACAGAAGTCCTCCCCGGAGAACGATCAGTAGGCCTAAATCTAGAGATCTAATTTAGATCTAACAACAAACATGATCATTGATCATCATGGTGATCTCGACGGCTCGACAATCTAGAATCTGGAAATTATAGACTCTAGATCTAGATCTCTAATAGAATAAATAACATCGGTAAGGTGTCTAAGAAATGCCTCCTAAAAGTAAATTTAACAATAGATCTAGATCTAGATATATCTAGATTTCTAGATCTTCTAGATCTAGGCCTCGTTAACAACATTGCATTTCTTTAGTGATTTAGTGTAAAAATATTTCAACGCATCATAGGCTGGACCTAAGATCTAGACTCTAAATCAAGATTCTAGATCTAGCTCTGTTCGACGACCAAGCACTAGCCTAGAAACTAGATTTCAAACTAGATCTAGATCTAGATTTCTAGGCCTACGCAGTGACACAGGCATTACACAGGCTGACGCTGCTCTACACCACAACACCAGTGATTACCATTGATACCAACAAAAACAAACACTGCTATCGACACTGCATTCGCAAATCATTATACTGAGAGTGGTTTTAGGGACAGACAAGTAAACTATATTCTGAAATATTATTGTCAGTAAACTTACTCACCAATAAGAAAAATCACCGTTTTGTTGCAGCTGTTGAGCGAAAGGTATCCGAATTTCCTCACCCTCTGCCAAGGGTGTTCCTACATTCTTTGACTCATTTTCAGTGTCACCATCGACCTTTATTACCAGCTCTTTTTTTGAAAACCAGCCAAAATAAGTGACGATGACCAGTTTTACCAGCTGTTCTATATTTAAATACCGCCAAAAACCTGTATCAGGGTACGAGTTCACGAGAAATAATAAACCATGGCGTACGATAATTAAGTTTCTTATTTTAGAAAAAAATGCAGTTCTTTAAAAAGATAGATGAAAAAGGAAAGTGTAAGCTATTAAGAGGCGAGGGGGGGGGATTTTGACAAGTCTGTTGTTTTGCTTCATTTTGGTCTGCAGGAAAAATGTCATGGTTTCGATTATTTAAATACTATGTAGATCTACATGTATGGGTATTAGATCTACTGTGTGTAGCCTACGTTTCTATTGCATCCTTGGGGTTAAAATTTAATTTCACGGTAAATTTTATCTTTTTTTTCGGTGAGAGTCTTTATTTGCTGTAGATAATGTTTTTGCTTTGTCAAGTTGGATATTATGCCTACATTTATTTTCCCTTTGGAAAAGGTTTAAAGACAGTATCCATTTCTTTTGAAAAGGGATTGAATTTAGATTTTCAGATAAAAATTGGAGGTCAAAAAGGATTTTTTTTAAAAATGTTAATTTGTCGTTTGTTTCTATTATAATCCGCATGTAGGCTAATATAATAATTATCTAAACGGAAATCACTTTAATGAAAAAGTGCTACCACCCTCATCCCTGTCTTCGATACTTTGTCTGTCTGTCTGTCTGTCTGTCTGTCTGTCTGTCTATCTGTCTGTCTGTCTGTCTGTCTCTGTCTGTCTGTCTGTCTGTCTGTCCCTCGCCATCTCTCTCTCTCTCTCTCT